GAAAACTTGAATAATGAGGAAAGGACAACCTGGGTAGAGATATATGGGTTCCTCTTCCGTGTTGGAATTCAGAAACATTCAAAAGATTAGCAGAACTCTGGGTTCATTAGAAGGACTTGGTGAAAATGCCAGTCAAACCATTAACAGTGAGAATATAATGATGTTGATTTATACAAACCAAGTTGAGAGAATAAATAAAGTGGTGGAAACTGAGGTGAGTGATATATTATTTAATGTAATAGCACCAGAAAGGGGATTCTTAGATTCGTTGGCGGAACAAAATGATCCACATAAAAATCCAGCGAGGAGGAAAGAAAAATCATCGTCATAGGAAAGCGTAGAGGTCTCAACATGTTGAAGAAAGAGGCAGTAATTTCCCACGGGAAAGATCTTTGTAACAAAGATGATTAGAATCTCAGAACAAAGGTGATGGATGGATCGTTGGAGAAAATTCTACACTTATAACATCCCAATTAGAGGTTAATAGTTTTGGGTTTACCCAAGAGGTAAGTAAACCATGTGAATTTCATAATTTAAGTCGTTGGTTTAATTGGGTTGGTATTAGGCCCAATTAACCATAAAAAAATATTTTTGAACAATAGAAAGATTAGAATGACCAAAAAGCATAATTTTACCTTTTAAAAGAATGGAAACTTTATATCACTCATTTATCTCACTCATTTATCTCCTTCCCTCCATTTCTTCTTCTTTTCTCTTCTCCTCCTAACCTCTATAGCTTCAAGTGGGTGAGAAATCAACAAAATCATAGAGGAAGGGTGTGAGGCTAAGCAAGGAGCTTCATTTCGAGATTCTAACATCAAGGTAGTGTATTTCTAATCCTTTGGAGTGTTAAGACTTTCATAAATATAAAGATTTTATAAGATTTGAGTATTTAAGCATTTTAAGGTTTATCAATGATTTCTTGATTAATGACATTTTAGTTGTAAAAAAGGTGTTTTTATGCTACCTTAAGGCCCTAAATAACTTTCTAAAACTTTAGTAAATGATTAGGAATAAAAAAAAAGTCATTTGGGATGAATTTTGGGTACTTCCCGAGTCTAAACAAGTTGTTTTTGGGTTCGAGTATTGATACTGGGATGAACAGTATGGATACTCAATGTATTGGGGAAAAATCTAGGGATTTAAGGTAGAGAGTATTGATACTGCTGGGAGAGTATCAATATTACCCTTACAGTATCAATACTCAAGATAACAATATCGATACTAAGCCCCAATTTCAGCAGCAAAGGCCATTTTTGGTACTGATACTCATAGGGGTATCAATACTTAACCCTAGGGTATCAATACTACAAGTAAAGTATCGATACTACTCACTTTGGATTGTTAGAATTTACCTATTTAAGGCCCGTAAGAGCTAAGGATGGTCCGTAATGCTAGAACTTAGTCTGTGGGGGACATAAAAGGCTAAAGGGGCCTAGAGACACTCGAAGAGATGGGTTACAACCATAGTAACCATAGTGGGCATAATGTGTCCAAGTATCTTCAGTTAAACACGTAGTGTATACCTAAGAATGAATGATCGTTGCAGAGGATGTACCAGTGAACAGTTTGGACAAAATAGTCAGATTACGAAATAGCGGAGTTGTGTTTTACAAGAATGTCAATGAATGGTGAACGTACTGTTGTCCCTATAATTCGAGGGTGAATTGAGGGAAAGCATGGTAAGAGCAAATAGAGAGGATCGCTACCCAATAATGAACCCGAGTCAAGTATCAGACTAGCTAGTGTTGCAAGAAACAACAATCACAATAATTATCATAAAACCATGAAACGCTTAGAAACTTCTCTAGAGGTAAAGAATGACTAAAATAACCTTATGTAACGAATGATCAGAGTATATCATCTTAATAAATTAACAACAATAACAAATTAATAAACCCTTGCATAACGTTCATGATGAGAGAACAAGGGAGATAACTACTAGTTAGAGGATGACCTCACCTTAGCGTGTTTAACTATACTAGAGAATAGTCATACTACCTTAGTTGTCCTAATAGGGTATTGTTAGTGCGCGAGGCACTTTAGGGGCTAACTAGGGCGTGAGGCCCGAACACTCATGAGCAGTGGGATAGCGATGCCAGTGTTGTGTGGCCTTTGGGGCCTTAGATATGCATGTATAATTGCATCAGTCCAGCAACATATATCCTTAAAGTTTGGTTTGAAGGCTATTTGAGACTGAGCCAATGCTTCAGTTGAGCGGGAATTGTATCGATGTTATGTGATATTGGGTTCCCCCTTTATGATCTACTTGATGACTATATGAGAATCATAAGATCATTCAACAACTTAGTGGGAATTTCACCGATGCTATGAGAGACACAAGGTTCCCTCAGTTACTAGTGTCTGATGGCTATGTGAGACCAGATACTAATCAGTATGGCATTAAGATAATGCACAACAGAGTCAGTGATGTATTCAGATAATGCACAGGAGTGTCAATGTCACATTTAAATATTGCACAACAGTTACAGTCATTAGGGTTAGAGAACATTTAGTGGCATATTCATGGCAAGGCCCTTAGCATATGATTAAGGGAAGCATGAGACCTTACTTTAGTGATAGAACAGTTAAGCCTTAAGTAGATAGCACTTAATCTAGATCATGAATGTACCATGTTGCTTAATACAATGTTTTTAGCATGCTTATGTTTATGGAACTCACAATGATGCTCTAGATTAGCGATTATACTGATGGGCTTTGTAAGCTCAACCTTCGAATGTTTTCTGTTGGTTGGTTAGTAGCTTGAGGAGTTCGTGGAGCACCGTCACAACAGGACTTGTAGCATCTCCTTCAGAGTATTTTACTATAGCTTTAGTGGGCATATGTATTTATAGAACCTTACTTATGTATTCAGATTTATAACTATGAGTTTGTATTATTTTAGTTTAAGACTACGTGTCACGGAGTTCCAGTTTATAAAATGTTTTATAAGTGTCATTTATCTCTTGTATGATACTATTCAACATGTTTGAAAAAGAAAATAAACAAGTTTTGAAAAATTGGAGGTTACCTCGACGGCCCAATGTGACATTTTAGGCTCATTCGGGGTTAGGGTGTTACAATACTCAAGGTTGATAGAGAAATCAAATAGTCGGAAAAACAATCTCTTGGATTCATATAAAGCTATTAATGCAACATACATAGGAAAGTTAAATAATGATTATTTGGTTGGCCAGATAAATGAAGGAGGTAGAGCTATAGGGGAATCATATATGGAGGGTGACAATTAAAAAATGTCTCCTATGGGTGATGAGTTTAACAGAGATCTGTGAAGGGGTATCGGAGAATCAGAATGTTGGTGGGATAAGAAACGTTAGTTACGGTCAGAGTGTAAGGAAAACCCTGATAGTCAACAAGAAGGAAATAGGCCTAACCGGAGTATTATTGAGGGGAAGGGCATAGAAGAACCCATTGTTAGCCTAGTAGGATACAAGAAAAATTCTATTGAAGAATTGAGCCTTATGGGCTTTAAAAGAAACAAAATCCAATTTACAGAGGAAGACCAGATCGAAATGCCCCAATATCCATTATCAACGAGGTAGTTGGAAACAACATATAATTGGGCTCAGAGAGTAGACTTTCTGAATAATAAAGATCAAAAGGATAGAACCATGAATGTGGTCCACAATGACTCGGAAGTTATTTGCACGTCTAAGGAGGGAAAGGTAGGTAGACTGAAAATACCTGAATTTTTTAGCAGAGAGAAACCGTCAAGGGCAAGGAAATATGGCTCGCTCCAAAAAATCCAGGATAAAAATCTAACCGAAGAAGAGAAGAAAAAGAGGGACAGAGCTCAAAAAAGGATTAAGAGGAAGGGAAAGGCAACCGGCTCATCAAAATTACAAGGGAGATGACTATTAGATTTTGACTTAAAGTCGAGATGAGAAATCTTCACAAAAGAGGCGAAGAAGTCACTTCAGCTGGGAAAAGATCTTGGCATCAAAATTAGGGGTGAAGAGAGTGAGGCAGTAATCGAAATTGCTAGGTTATAAGAATTGGATCAAGGAAACAAGGATTTTTAAGTGAAAAATTTTACAAAAAAAAATCAGAGATAAGAATAATATCATGGAATATCAGGGGTTTGAGGTCAGCTTCAAAGAGGTCAAAATTAAGGAAACTGATTAGAATTCATAAGGCAGGGATGGTGTTTGTCTAAGAATCAAAGAAGGGTTCAATTGATGAAAATGAAGTAGGGAGACTTTGGTACGATGATGAGTTTGAGTTCTTGGCGTATGAGGCAGTGGGTCGTTCTGGGATATGTTAACAATATGGGACAAAAAGAAATTTTTGGTCGAGAATAGCCGTATATCTTCCAGGTACATTCTAATCTCAAGAAAATGGGTTGAAGAAGAATTAAATTTTACTTGTATAAGCGTATATGCACCTCGTGATAAACGATAACAAATTAGTTTATGGGATAAATTAATCGCGCTAAGGAATTCTTATAACTATACTTGGCTTGTAGGCAGAGATTTCAACGCGATTAGATCCAAAGAAGAGATGAGAGGCAAAGGAAACACTTGTATTGGTATAAACGAATTTAATAATTTTATTGAGTCATGCAGTTTGAATGAAATTCCTTTGATTGGGAGAAAATTCACGTGGTTTGGACCAGGAAACAGTCGTAGTAAACTCGATGGATTCCTACTAGAAACGAATTGTGATAATCTGTATGAGGATTTATCGCTCCAAGGCTCAACTCGTATCTTTTCAGATCATATCCCACTCCTCTTGGCGAGTGAGGTAGTACTGGGGACCAAGACCATTCAAGATTATAAACGCATGGTTTGCTAGGGGTGGGTGCTTGAAGATCATTAAGGAAACGCTGGGAGATAGCAAAAATTTTGGTAAAAATCTATAAATGAAATTGAAGATGGTGAAGCAAGCTTTTAAAGGATGGAACACCTCATACAATGACTTGAATAGCAGAGTCCTAAAACTTGATTTCTCAAAAGCATACGACTACGTTCGTTGAGATATTATGCTTATGGTGCTTGATCATATGGGTTTTAGCAAAAGGTGATTCAAGTGATTTTTTTGCTGTATTTCGACATCTAAGGTCTCAATTCTGCTGAATGGATCCCCAACCAAAGAGTTTACAATGCGTAAAGGACTGAGATAGGGGGATCCCTTGTCTCTATTTTTACTCATTTTAGTTTTAGAACCCCTTCATCTCTTGATTGACAAAGTAGAGGTCTCGAGTTTGATCGAAGATATCCACGATATAATCTTGAATGCTTCGATATCCCACCTATAATTCACGAATGATAAGTCATTTTTCTAAGTTCGGGTGAAGAACAATTAACGAATATCAAACACATTTTAAGATGCTTTAAGGTAAGCTCAGGGCTAAGTATAAAATTTAGAAAATATTGCCCAGTAGGTATAAACATTGATACAGAGTGTGTCGATCGTTTGGTAAAAGTTTGTGGTTGTAAAAAAGGTTCCCTACCTTTTAATTATTTGGGCATTCCCTTGGGGGCTGACCCGAGATGTGTTTTAACACGGGATCCGGTAGTGGCTAGATTCAAGAGTAAACTTTCAGGCTAGAAAAGTTGATATTTGACATTTACAGGAAGAATAATGTTGATCAACTCCGTTTTGTCAGCGATTCCACTATATTATATGACTATTTTTCAAGTCCCAAAACTGGCCCTACATAAACTAGACAAGTTAAGAAGAAATCTTCTATGGGGCATGTGGATAGGTGATAAAAAGTTAATCAGTTGGGAAATTAACACAGTTACTGGTAAATGCTAATGTAGTAGTCCCGGATTTCGAGTTTGTTCACGTTTGGAAAATGAAGGTTCCGCCCAAAGTGGAAACTTTCCTATGGATGTTGAAAATTGGTAGGCTATCAACCAAGGAGTTTCTCTTAGAAATGGGTGAAATTAGACGAATCTTCGAGCAGCTTTCCTTGGTGTAAAATTGGCGTGGAATCAGCATTTCATTTTGGTTGAAGGATTTATGACCCTTTTTTTTGGAGAGAATCTTGCAAATGGTGGTTGAAGGATTAGCCTTCTCCTAGAAGCTTCGACTCGTTCTTTTTTTTTTGGTTCCCTTGTTCGGCTCGACAAGATCAGTCTGATTAATCTCGGTTGCAACGCTTTATGAAGTGTATGGTTATGGAAGAATGAATTGGTGTTCGAAAATAAAGCTACAGCTCAAAAGGACGTTTTGTTCAATGTGAAGAGGAGGGCACTTATCTGGATTAAATTGATAAACGGTAATATATTGTTGACAAAGGGTACACGTAATAATTTGAGAAGAGAAAATTTCTCAATCATTGTATTGTTTAGGTAAAAGTACATCTCGATTTATACACAAAGTTAGAGGTAAGTTTCCTAGTAGAAATAAACTACCTAGAAGTTATTCTTATCTATCTTTCTAAGAGTTAGTATTATATTAGATTACTAACTAGTATACAAGATGGTTTTATCACATAACCTACACTCCCCTCAAGTTAGGGAGTAAATATTGAAAAGACCCAACTTGGATGTAATCTCATCAAAGTTAAGTATTGGAAGCATTTTGGTGAGAATATCTACTAACTGATTCTTTGTTGAGACATAGTTGAGCTTTTCCGATCCACCATTCACCTTTTCAGGGATAAATGTTTGTCAATCTCCACATGTTTTTTTTTTGTCATGATGAACATGATTCTTCGCAACTTATTGCATATTTACTATCACTCTGAGTTAAAAAAAACATGTTTTCACATAACCCCAGCTCAATTAACAATCTTTGTAATTAGATTCCTTAGCAAATTTCAAGTGCATTGTTCAAAACTATGTTTTTGCACTACTTCGAGACACCACAACTTGTTTTTTGCTTCTCCAAGTGACTAGATTTCCCCCACACAAATGAACAATAACCAGTTGTAGACCTTCTATTAGTTAATTCACCTGGCCAGCTTGAATCAAAAAAAAAAATCTTACTGTTCTATCATCACTCTTTCTAAAAATTAACACATGCCTTGGTGTCATTTTCAATTATCTTAAAATTCTATTTACAACCTTTAAATGTTCTTCCCTTGGATCATTCGTATATTGGCTAACTATGCTGACAGGAAATGCAATATCAAGTCTTGTATGTAATAAATAAATGAGTTTACTTACTAGCCTTTATATTGTTCTTTGTTCATTGGCTTTCCCAATTCTTCTCTCCTTAGCTTAAAATTTGCGTTCATGGGGGTTTCTGTCGGTTTGCATTCCTTCATTCTAATTTCCAATAATAAATCAAGGATATATTTTCTTTGATTGATCATTATCCCTTCTTTTGACCTTGCAACCTCCATACCTAGGAAATATCGTAAAGTACCCAAGTCTTTGGTTTCAAATTCTTTACCAATGCAGTCCTTAGTTTTTCTATCTCTATAGAATCCTCACTTATTAGAATCATATCCACATAGACAATTAAAATTGACTTTTTATTGTTCAAGGCTGTTTTGACAAATAAAGTGTGATCCGACTGACATTTCTTGTAACTATCATGAATAATCACCTTTATAAATCTGTCGAACCAAGCTCTTGGAGGTTGCTTACATCCAAGGAATTTAATATTCTACACACTTTTACTGCATTACTCTATACTCCAGGCAGAATTCGCATATATACTTCCTCCTTTAAGCTCCCATTTAAAATGGTATTTTTGATGTCTAACTGGTGAAGCACCCAGTTTTCATTGACCTCTAATGATAGTAACACTTTCGTAGTGTTTAGTTTTGATACTGGAGAAAATGTTTATTGATAATCGACTCCAAAATATAGAGTAAATCCTTTCGCCACTAATCATGTCTTGTATCTTTTAATGCTTCCATCAACTTTGTATTTAATTGTGAATACCTATTTATAGCCGACTGGTTTCCTTTCTTTTGGAAGATCAACTACAATCCAAGTATTGTTGTTTTCCAATGCTTTCAACTCCTCTTCTACCTTCTTTTTCCAGTTAGGATCTTTCAACGCTTCCTCCACTATATCTGGAACAATAATTCTATCGACACTTGCTGTAAATTTCTTAAAACACAACATTAGCTTTTCATATGCAACAAACTTATCAATCGAATAATTTATACATTTTCTTACTCCTTTCTTTTAAGTAATCGACAAGTCATTATCATCAATTAAAACATTTAATTCAGTGAAAGAACTCTGATTACCTCCGTCATTCTCCAAAGGATTCTCATTCGATTCCGGTTCACGACAGTGTTCATACTGTGTGGGAGGATCGAGATAAGGTTCACGGGTTGGTTTGGAAATTGGCTTTTGTCATCTCGTGTAAGTCAATGATTTGAACTGAGGTATTTGAGACAAATTGATATGTTGATCATGGGAAGTAAGCTTGTTTCGATATGTTGTTTTGGTAATGGTGAAACTGTTGTTTGGTTCCGCTAGGGTGATTTTGTGGGTTGGTTTGGATGGATTGATTGGTTTGACAATGTTGGTTGATCAAACGAAGCTGACTGCAAATCAAGTGACAATAATTGTTGTGAGTCAACAGACTGATATTTATTATATGACTCCCCCTAGATATCAGCCCTAAGGGGAAAATGTGTTTTTTAAAGAACGTAACATCCATGGTCACAAAAGATTTTTTTGTATAGGTACAATAACACTGAAATCCCTTTTGACTCGATGAATAACCCAGAAATCTACACCAAAACACTCGAGGATATAATTTGGATATGGAAGCAATATTGTTATGAACGAACACGATACACCCAAAAACTCTAAGGGGTAATAAGGTCATCGATTTAAAAGTGGGAAAGAACTAGAGAAACACATCTCTCGGACATTTAAAATTCAACGGTTTACTAGGGGGACGGTTAATAAAAAATGGTAGATAAAAGGGAATCCCAAAAATAAAAAAGGTACATTTGTAGAAAAGATAAAAGATTGTGTAACCTCAAGGATATGCCTATTGTTTTGCTCAATAATCCTATTTTGTTGAGGAGAATTAACACACAATGTTAGGTGAAGATTCCCGTGTTCCTGAAAGAAAGAACCCAAAATATTGGCAAAATACTCACTATCATTTTCAGAATGAAACATTTGAATAGAACATTGAAATTGGATTTCAACCATCTTATGGAACCGTTTAAATATTTCACAAGCTTCGGATTTATGTTTCATGAGAAATTTCTAGGTAGTACGAGTATGGTCATCAATAAAGGAAACAAACCAGCAAAACTCATGTAAAGATGCAACCCGGAATGGACCCCGAATATCACCATGTATTAGCGTAAATGGTTTGAATTGTCTATACAGAGTTGGTCGATAAACACTCTTAGTTTGTTTAGCAAGTGGAAAAATATCACATGAAAAAGATTTAGGGCTTTTATTGATAAACAAATGTGGAAACAACTTTGCAAGATAAAAGAAACTAGGATGTCCTAAATGAAAATGTAATAACATAACATCAGTTGAAGATTCAAGGAAAGGAAATTACTAGATGACATTTAAAGAGGTAGGTGGTCGGGAATAAAGTTGCCAAAAGTAGGTAAAGACTCCCCACAAAGTCTATCATTGCAAATCATCTTCCTCGAGGTCAATCCTGAAATTCACAAAAATCAGAGTTAAGTTTTGTGGTACAACATAAATCAACATATAGCTTGCTAATGGAGATAAGATTGCAAGAGATATTGGGAACATAAAGAACATGAGACAAAGAGATGTTCGGAGTTATTCGAACACACCCATGACCGATAACACTGTAAAGAGAACCATCTGTGGTCCGAATATAAGAAATAAACGATTCGAAATGAAAAGTTTGAAAGAGTCGAAGATCATCTGTCATTTGTCCACTTGCACTAGAATCCACAATCCAAGTAGGAGTAATGGATTTGTTAGCCAAAGTAGCAGAAGAAATTCTACCTTCAGGAGTGGAAGTCGCAGGTGCGGATTAGGAAGAAGTGTTCAATTGACTAAAAAACTACTACAATTCTTTCATTTATATTTTTAGTGAACGTATTATAATCGCCCTGAGTATCATGTTGTTTTGAAGATTTTCCATCAGTAGGCTTGCCATGTAACTTCCAACAAGAATCCCTCACATGGCCAATCTTTTTACAATAGTTACACCAAGGTCTTCCCTTATTTGGTCAAGTAGTTGGTTGAGAGTGAGCAAGCCATACAGAGCCTTCATTGGGTGGCGAGACACAACACTTTTCCACGAACATCATCAGGATCCCGATGTAAGCCAGACAAGAACTGAAATATATGTCTTTCAACAGTCTTTTTGAATAGACGAGCATCGTCTACACACTGCCAATCATGGGATTCGAAGAGGTCAAGTTGCTTCCATAGTAACGATTAGGTTATCTTGTTTAAGATTGGAAATCTGACATTCAATCCCAAATAGGATAGTCGAGTTGTCCATATTCGAGTACGTCACCTTTGCAGCACTCCAAATTTTAGCCGTTGTTGCACACAGTAGAAAGTTTTCCCCAACGGCAGGTAGCATGGAATTGATGAGCCATGGCATAATCATGGTATTCTTACTTAGCCAGGTCGTATACTCAAGATCCTTCATAGCAGGAACCGACGTAGTCTCCAACAGACGGTGCTCCTTGCGTCGGTCGGTTAAATAATGGCAGACAGATTGGGACCAAGGGATATAGTTGTCACCATTCAAGCGATGACATGTGATAAAGGCATAAGAGACATAAGAGAAGTTCAAATTAGACGATGGAGTCAGGATTTCCGGGGTGACACCTGATGTAGAAGAAGCGAAAGTCATGATTGGCAGCTAGAGTTGGGAGAAAAAAATTTGATCAGCTAAGATAGAGAAGAATGACCGATCACCTAACTGATACCATGTTGAAAAAGGGTACACGACAGAATCGAGAAGAGAAAAATTCTCAATCATTGTATTGTTTAGGTTAAAGTACATCTCGATTTATACACAAAGTTAGAGGTAAGTTTCCTAATAGAAATAAACTACCTAGTAGTTATTCTTATCTAACTTTCTATGAGTTAGTATTATATTAGATTACTAACTACTATACAGGATGGTTTTATCGCATACCCTACATATACTAGTTAACGAAGTTGATTAGTGGAATAACCTCTTAGAGTGATTAATAGATAGTAATGTTCATCTGGTGTGGTGTCCTCCTGGAACGGGTTTCTTGAAGTTTAATGTGGACGGTTCCTTCAAAGGCTTGGCAGCACACTGTGGAGGTGTTTTAAGATCGATCAAAGGCGATGTTCTCAGGCCCTGTTTTCCCGGTGAACTCTGATTTTGCGAAACTAGAGGCAGCAAAAATTGCACTAATGATTTTCTTGAAAACTGGATGGTCTGAAAATTTTAGTTTGATAGTTTAATCAAATTCTCAAGTCGCGCTGAATTGGATTAAAAACATGTCTTTAAGACCTTGGAGGTGGCGGGATTTGTTCGAAGAGATTGATAAGTTATCAATTCAAATTCCCGGAGTGAAGTTTGTTTGTCCCAAGAGAAGGAAAGGTTAGCGGATCAATTGGCGAAACAAGGTTTACTTCGTTCCAAGTTGTTTAAAGCGTGGTGGGAATAGAAATTTTGGCATAATCACCTTAAGGTTCTTCTGCAGGTTCGTTTACGAGTGTTGCTGACTTTTGTTACCGGGTTGGTATTTCAGGGGTATGTTATTCTTCTAATGCTTGCTTGATTGTCCAAAGGACAATTAGCAGATTCTTCTAGGCTTGTTGGTGCCCTGTACATTAGGGTTTTTTGCGTGCTGAGTTTTATTGTTGTTTTGCTACTTTGATAGGGTGTACTGTTTTCATCTATTTAGGGTTAGGAAAGTTTTAATGAGACTTCTATCTCGGTAGATATATATATATATATATATATATTGATTGATAAATAGAAAAATACTTCATTGTTGGTTGAAAAGTGTTGTGAATAGCTTGCGAGTATGAATTCAACCCCAAGCTTCATCAGATTAAAATCCCAGTTTTGCATGAATACACTGCAATAATTAATATGTCATTCTTATTTCAAGCGCACGTTATAATTTACTGTTTCTTTTTTATTTCGTAGTTTTGCATGTAAACAATGAATTAAAGCAAAACCTTGTCCAGTCCTTCACTTTTGGGCTGTTTAGATTATGTTATTTAAATCACAAACTTTGAGATCAAATATTCATCGATTTTGGAAAATTGGCGATCATGTGTTCTCACCATATGTAAACCTGTCTATAACGATATAAGGCTGGTTTTCATCCGAGATTATGTCATAATACATGCCAGCTTGGACCACCATTTTTTTTCTTTTTCCAGTGGAATATCGCTTTCCTTTAAGTATCCTTTCCAAGATTCTTCATGTTTCCCTTCACTACTACTCAATTCTCTGACATGGTAATGGTTCAAGCTGATGGGTCCTCGTCCCACATGCTTATTACCGGTTCACTTACCGTTTTTTATATACATTTTTACTTGTAACCTTTTGCCTATAATGAGTAACAATCTTGATGAAATTTGTCGTATTTTATCAACTTTTTGGTGCCATTATAATAACTATTACGGCATGGACGATATCGTTAAGATGAATCATCATGTAGTTTTCGATTAATCACATGAATACGAACTTTGAAAATTAGGGGCATAGCCTTGTTGGGACAGGCAACTATGGGTATGTCGGAATCGTGATATGGTAGGCTCAAAATTCCCCCCCAAAAAAACGAAGCAAAAGGCATGTGATATGCATATCAATAATTGAAATTAAGATTATTGGGGAATTGACAGAAATGGCAGGAAGCCATAACACAGACAGTAAACATAGAGATGTAAACAAAAGAGAGATTAAGCATAACAAATACTTGTATTCCTAGATAGCTTTTTTCTTTAATTTATTATTGTTGAAGGATATCTTGGCAAGATGATCAGGCTGGAGACTTAGAAGCAACAGATGGAAAACCAAGCACCACCAACTTGTCAATGGCTGCAACAAACGTAGCAGAGAATTCAATATGGGTGGGATGGGTGGTAAACGCAGTGTAATCTTCTTTCTTTTCGAATGTCATCAAGAAGGCATGAGTGAATCCTTGTCTAAGCATCTCTTCACTTTCTATGTCTTGTCCCCTGTTACAACAGTTTCAGTTCATGTTTCCAGTTATTCAGTTCTTGACATAAACATCCTAATCAAATTTTAAAGGACAAAAACACTTCTACAACGAGGAAGTATTTGCTCAATGAAGGAGCATTAAATACAAGCATGCAAAATGATCTAAATGATTAAAAAAAACTCACCATTCAAAGGACTTGACAGCATCAACCTCAGAAACCAGCTTTTCCATACCTTTCAAAATCTCTTCAACCACTGCACATTCCTTGAACTTCACAACAACAAGATGCTTAAACCCTGCCATTATTACTCCCTCAAAAAAGAAAGAAAGAAAGAAAGGAAAGCTTTTCAAGCTTTGAGGGTTTATAAAACGTTAGAAGCAGCTAACCCCGGAAAAATCACACAAATTTATACACAAAACCCAACGTTATTTTGGTGTCAATTTCAACAGTCTCACCCACAAATTTTCACCGTTTGTATTACCAACCATGACCTAAAGCCTAAAGGGGTCAGAGTCCTTTGTTAGACAAGATCTGCATTTCAATATATGGAGAGGTACAGGTTTGCATGGGTGGGGAGACCCACTGGTCAGCCATTTTCTTTGCTGTACCGCACGATAAAAATTGTCCACAGCTCGTTGTCAGCTTTGCTTTGCCTTGCCTTTTGCTTTTGCACATGAAATGTTGGTCATAACTCATAATAGTTCCATTTCATTTTTCTTTCTTGAATTTTGAGATCTTGCATCACCTGTTTTTCTCTGTCACTATCATCACATGATACAACCCCTTTTTCTCTTTTTTTTTTTCTTATTTCGCCTTTCATGACCATGAACACATGCATATTTTTTGAAACCTCCTAAGGAGAGTTTTGAAACCAACAAGAGGTTTGAAATTATAGGTGCAGTTTTGATTATTACGGTAACATTCACCTCAATCCATGAAATAACTTTTGAGGTGCATTTTCTTAAGAATTATTGTTTCAGATGTTTCATCTGAAAAATTTTACCGTAAAATCTCGTTAGTGAAACATTTGAACATTTTTGGATTGAATCAAAAATAAAATTAAAAAGGAATACTCAATATTAATAAACACCCAAATACATGTAGATTATTTTACAGGTTATTTATTAAGATTATGATTGTTATTCTTAATTTAGCACAGTGACATTTATATCGTTCATTTATTTTTAATAAATGTTTCTTTATAAAACAAACAATTTTATTAAATAATATATATAATAATATTAATACTGAAATATTAAAATAGATAATAAATTATTTAAATATAAAATTAAAACTTTTAAAAATTAAATCACGTTGGTAACAATCAGTCAATCATTATAAATTACATAATATTTATCTATTAAAAAATTACATAGCATTTATAACATCGAGAACTATAATACTTTAATCATATTCACAACGAACACTATAATTATAATCTATAACATCCATAGTTATAATCTTCAATTACATTCAAAACATACATCATAATTGTAATTTAATACTAATATAATCCACCCCGAAGAAGGTGCGGCATGTTACCAAAAAATAATGGATTCTTATTGCAGGGATTTCTGGGAGATTTCTCATCATTACACTAAGGAATTTCTGACATTATATGTGTATATATAACAACACAATTAATGCGTAAATAGTAACATTAAAATTTATTCATCAAAACGTAGTATCAATGACAAGTGTCGTATATTGTCGAATAAATCAACCATTTTGTCCGATAAATAAACTAAAAAGATAGTATAGAAAAAAAATGGTTAATCCGAAGAAACTAAGGAGCTTATGATGTTGAAAAGTTTTGATTCTGACTTTTACTGAAAAAGTAAGAAAAATGAGGGTTTTAATTAAGAAAGTAAAGCAGAAAATAAAGGTAACATACTAAAAGTGAATTTGGAAATATATTTGGAGGAACTAACGAAAGTAAATTTTGAGAAGATAATCAATTAAGTAAAACAGTCTCAGGCCTCGCTTCCAATTGATCATCGAAGAGGATTTTACTCCGGACACATGCCAATTACAATTTACAAGGCACAATCAGTGTAACTTACTTTTCTCTCTGGTAAACCAACAATCTAAATCCGACCCTCAATATAGTTTAAGCATTGGACTAACCACGGCTATAGTCGCTAGCACCAAATAGTTTAAGCGTTGGAAAAGTTCGACTCGGGTTATGTTGTTTCAACGAGAATCAAACCTGACCCAAATTTCCCTTAGTGAACCGCCTCTAAGTGTGTTCATAGGAAGTCAAATGTGCTACAAGTCGATCATTCCTCCCAACTTTAAATCGGAACAGCAATCAAACCAATGAGCTCTTTTTGAATTGAAAGTGTAGAGATTTTTAAAGAAAAGGCCTATTGTCAATCCATGTTTTTAGAAAATTTAGAAAGATATTCGAATATATTAGTGCTTTTCAATTCTCACGATCAAAATTAAGTATCGCTTAAGCCTTTGGCTTATTGAGAAATTAACTAAGCATGATAGAAATCATACTTAGTGTCACACCCCAAATTATAGCATAAATTTTCTTAATTTTAATTTCAAGGACTAAGTTGAATTTTGGTTAAATTAGGGGACCAAAATAAATTTTTAATTGAATTCTGGTCCAAATTAGAAAGTTCTAAAACTTGGAGGACTTATGGTATAACTACAACATTTTCTTTTTGTTGGGTATAAAACCTCCCTTTTCCTTAAAGTTTCTATTTCTAGAAACCCAAAATCATCTCTTTCTCTCTCCTTCCCTTTTTAGCAACTTTTAGCCAAAAACTTCAACCGTCGCCGATCACTACTCCATTTTTTACACCGCCATCACCTTTGTGTTCAGTGTGTCATCTCGAGTCATTGATGGTCACTAAGTTGTTTCTTTCGCTAGCGTGTAAAGGGGTGAGAAACTTCAAGTTTTCAGCGAAGTGTAATCGAGCTCTCTATCATTTACCATTGTGATTTGAGGTAAGTAAGTACCTTAAAATCTTAAAATTAATTTTAGAAAAATTTTCAAAATTTTGTCCGACCTCACACGCCACCGCTCGCGTCCCTACACACTGACCCTGCGCGTGGGGATCATCCACCTCATGGTGGACCGCCTTGAAATAAGTCAACCCGACCCTCTGACCCGATCGGATTCGTACTCGTATCTGACCCAACCTGTACACCTTTCTGACTGAAACATCTAACTGAATTGTCCAATTAAATTGGCCCAAGCCGCGCCAAACTAAGACGAGTCATGTCGAGTCACCGCCACCATTGACCTTTGACCATTGACCAGTGTTGACTTTTTTCAAAAACTTCTATCCTAATGTTTTTCGACGTCCTGAGTCCGATTTTGTAGTATGTTTTGCCAAATTCTAACCCGAAAGCCCTGAATTGAGACCATTAAAATGAATAGTATTTTTAGCAAATTTTCTTATTTATCTCATATTTGATTATAGAATTGCTTTAGGTTTATATTTTCATGAAGGTACTTGTGAGTCCCATGTTCAAGGGTTGACTGGGTCCATTGATTCTCAACCTGTGGATCAGTCTGGTCCACGTACTTCGAGAGATACTCGTAGGTTTTCGTAAATTGTTCGATTAAAGATTATTACTTATTTTATTAGGATTCTCATTCAATTATTCTAATTCGTAGGATCTAGCACTGTCGTTGATCATGATAGGAAGACCCGAGAGTATGTTACCATTTCATACTTCTCAGATCGGAATAAATGTGTTCCTATTGGTGTTATAATATTGTTTTGAAATATCTGTATGAATTGTTTAAAAATTATTATTTTATATTTTGACTGAATGATATCTAAATTAATGAATGCTTCTAGCATGATCTATGGTTAGTATAATTATATATTTGATTTTGATATATGGCATGTTTTAATATTTAATAAATTAAATACTTGTTTTTACTCAAATACATGCACATTTACTATCATTGGGAGGTATGATTGGAGGAAGTATCCCAGGTTTAGTCTATGACTTGTCGCATGCTCCTTTTGCTTTGTGCACAGGGTAAGTCTTTACAACATGCCCTTATACTATCAATATAAGGTCCTTACCAGGTATACAGGTGGGTATATGGTTCAGGGGAACCTACACATTCTGGTGTTCGAATGGGGGTAGTGTTTATGTTTTCAAAACTTATTTTATACGTAACCTTTACCGAAGTATTTTATATGTATACTTTTATACACCGTAAGGAGCACACTGGGCTTTTACCACATTCTTCAATTTTTTTAACTTTTCAGATACTACTCGATAATATACTAGCAAACTTGGCATAAGGAGGATTAATCATTCTTCGTTTTGTATCGTTGTATATTTATATACGCCTTTTATGTTATATTTTGGTGACACGTGTTTTACTACCACTTATGCATTTGTATTACTGATATTTTGTTTTTCGATGTTAATATACATGTATATTTACCGCATAGACTTTTCTAATTGTTATGTCAATATTTTACTATTAATTGGATTTTATTTATTGAAATGGATTTGGACTGAGTTTTAAATATGAAAAGGACTTCTGTACACGACATATGATCTTCTAGATTCGACCGAAACTCCCTGGCCGGATCTAGGGGATTACACTTGCTGAGATATGGACGCAAGGGCAAGTTGAGTCCGAGATTCATTGGGCCTTATCGTATTCTGAAGAGAGTCGGGCATGCTGCTTCTCAGCTTGAGTTGCCTCCTCAACTTAGCCGTATTCATGATTTTTTTCATGTATCTATGTTGAGGCGGTATATTCCAGATCCGAGCCATGTTATTCAGATCGAATGTGTAGAGTTGATATATGATTTGTCCTATGAGGAGGATCATGTTCAGATTATGGAACAAGATGATAGAATTCTTTGGTACAACCTATCCCGATGATCAAAGTTCAGTGGAGCAATTGCGGTGCCATAGAGGCTACTTGGGATACGTTAGAGGTAATTGAGGCTTAGTTTATGTATTTGTTCATACCAGGCAAATTTCGAAGACGAAATTTCTTTCAAATGGGAGAGCTGTCACACCCAAAATTTTGGCTTAAATTTTTCTTAATTTTAATTTCAAGGATTTAATTAAATTTTGGTTAAATTAGGGCACTAAAAATGAATTTTTAATTAAATTTGGGTCTAAATTAAAAAGTTATAAAACTTAGAGGACTTATGGTGTAATTAAACTATTTT